GTGAGAGCCCAGCACTGGCTTCACGAAAGGCTAAACAGCAGCAGGGGCACAAGGGAGCGGGCAGTGCCCCTGCCCCCTCCCACACTCACTTGTACTCTCCAAAGAACTGTGAGAGGCAGCCCCGCTGTCGGCCACAAGGCAGGTGGAAGTTCCTGCCACAGCGCTCTTTCTGGCAGTGGATGGCGGCTCCCTTTCTCTTGCACACGAAACAGACCTGCAGATGAGACCGGGCAGTGCACCTCCACCCCTCCTGCTCCCCAGCAGATAGACACACAGACACACAGACAGACATCTGTGCTGCAGCCTTTGCCCTTTTCCTTGGTGGTCCTGAAAATCCCTCAAGGGCTCCCAGGGTCGGGCTGTGCTCTGCCCACCCACGTGTTCCACCCTCGCCTCCTCTGGGCCACTATATCACTGAAGTGTGGGCATCTGTCCAAAGAAACCCCCAGGTAAGAGGTCCAAGAGTCCTTGAACTTCTACCCACCCCCAGGAAACAACAAAAGAAGCAGTGTGAGAAGAGGCAGAGAAACCTGCCCCTGCCCCCCACCCCCGGTTCCCCAGGCCCCCCAGCTCCCTGTGCCAGGGCAGCCTAACCTTCCTAGCAGCCCGAGCGATCTCTTTTCTGATGTCTTCGGGCAGGAATCCATGGAAGCCTCTGTTGGACTGGCCCCTCTGTGGCAGCTTGCTAGACAGGATCTGAGGGCAGCAGCACCGGGTGGTCAGGGGGTACAGAGCGTGCTCAGAGTGCCCTTTCCCTAAAAGTGGCTGCCACAGTGCCACGTACCAGGGCCCTTTAAAAATTGAGCTCGTTGGATTTTTGTGACAACTGGGGCAGGTGGGTTCTACAGTCGACCCTGTCGTGGAGGGGAGACGCAAACACTTCCACTGAGCCGCAGGCGCAGAGGCCACACCCTGCTGCAGGCAGGTGGAGCTGGGTGGCAGTCCCACTGCGTTCCACCCTCACAGCCTCCCCCAGTGCCATCACCTCCTTTGGTGGGTGTGGGGGCGTGCTGGATGCTGTCACGTGGGCTTCGGTCCACCTGTGTGACGCCCTCTCATCTGGTGTGCTGGGAAAGGCTCCCTAGGCATCAACTCGCTGTGTGCTCACCACAGCCCTACCATGCACATGCTGCCCAGGGCCATGCAGTACCCTCGGACCCTCCCGAGGTGCCGCAGGCCAGGGTCATACAGAGAGAGGCCACAGGGTCCAGGCGCATGGAACCCACACTCCCCCCTCCTGCTGTCCTGTCCCCAGAACAGAGGGGTCTTCTCAGAGCGTCCGCCCTCAGCAAGGGGTAGGCAGACCCGACTACAGCCATCCTGTGTCGGGGGAGGAGGGAGAAGCAGGGCTTCTCTTTAAAATGTACTAGAAAGGGCCCTTTGTGCCTAAAATGTCCCCAGAGCGGTGGCGCCTGAAGTGGGAGATCAAGGACAAGGAGGCTAAACCGCTGTGACCCGGGGTCCAAGGTCAGCACCCCCACCAAGAACGCGGTGAGACACCGGGAGGGGCTGGGCGCCGGCAGTGATTGCGGGACATGTGACATGGGGGGAGGGGGGTGTCTCGCTATTTTTACATTTCAATTTAACTTTTACTTTTAGGCGTCTGGCTATTTCTGCGTTTACATTACAGGACTGGTGACCCAACAGGCTGGTGAGCTCGAGGTCGCTTGGGTGGCAGTTGCACGCTCTCCCAGCGATGTTCAAACAGGTGCACTCTGCACCGACAGCACCTGCCTCAAGGGGCTGTGCCTTCTCTGCACTGTTGCTGCAGGGGCTTCCTGTCAGGAGGAGCATGTGGGATCAGAAGCCTTGTGAGCACTCTCTCACAGAGGATGCGTCTCAGCACGCCCAAACACCTCAAACCTCTGCGACAGGCAGGCCCTACAGGACAGAGGACGGCACCCAAGGAGAGCGACGTGCTCCCTGCGGACGTCAGTGACACCGAGCCAGACAAGCCCTGTGCAGACCTGGCTTGTTTTCACCCTGACAGAGCTCGTGCTGCCAGAGCCGGCCAAATGTGAGCGCACCGATTCTGGCATGACGGCACGCGACCCCGCAGGGCTGACCGCAGCCACCATGCAATAAACCACCCTGACAAAGGGGAACCATCACCATCATCTCACCAGACGCAGAAGAGGTGGTCAGTAAGACCCAGCGCATCGACCTTTCCCAGCAAAAGAGGACGTCTTCAGTTGGGTCAAAGGATCAACGAGAAACCTGCAGGTCGCAGGGCAGTAAAGGGTGCTGCCGTCTGCGGCTGGGGAAGAGACCAGCGAGCTGTGTGCACTCACACTCCTGCTCACCGGAGGGCATGTCCTTGCCAGTGCTCGCACAGTCAGACAGAGACGGCAGGACGAAGCAGAGCTGTCTGGACACACGAGACACTGGGGCACCTACCCAGACGCAAGACGGCTCAGCCAATCTGTGACTTTAGTGCTGTGTATAAAGTCCATACACAAGAAATTAACTGTGTGTCCACATGCCAGCAACAGTGAACTGAGAAAGGTAAACTATTTACAATATAGCACAAGAATAGTGATCCATTTAAGAGTAAATTTCACAACGTACATGGAAGCACCACTCACTCAAAGGACAAAACACTCCCGAGCTTTCAGTTTGAAAGCCCAAACAGACAGGTGCGCCGTGTTCAAGGGTGAGAAGACTCCTTGTTGTCGGTTTTTCCTAAATTGATCTATAAACCCGATGCAGTCACAATTCCAGCAGCATTAAAAAAAAGAAAAACTGACAGGCTGACTACAAAGTTTACACGGGAAAGATAAGAGCCTAATAACAGAAACGATCTCTGAAAAGGTTTGGGGGATTTAGTTTCAGGGACTTAATTTCACCGAGGGATCGAGGGAAGGTGCCTGGTGGCAGCATGGGCACGCATGGCATCGTCCCTGCTAACGCCTGCAGCTTGACCCCCAGCTGCCCTGGGAAAGAGGCGGGCAGTCTGGGGATCCACGGGGACCATGCTGCGTCTGTCCTACAGGTCACCTGAGCTGGTGAGCAAGGTGACTATTGATGGTATTGGTGTACGGCCAGACACGCTGGCACTTGGTACTCAGAAAACAGATCCACAGACAACGGGTCAACTCTGGTGTGGCCAGTGCACCAAGGCAATTCCATGGGGAGGCAAAGATTTCTTTTTCTTTTTTTTTTAAAATATGGAACGCTTCACGAATTTGCGTGTCATCCTTGCGCAGGGGCCATGCTTCTTGAGACACAAGACACACTAGCCATAAAAGAAAATCTTGGTGAAGTGGACTTGGTTGGAAACGTAAAAGCTGTTTTCCTTTGAAAGAAGCATTAAGTACATGAAAAGGCAGAAGCAGTCACAGTACATAGGTCTGATCAAAGGTTTCTACCCAGAATCTGAAGAACACCTGCCACGCAGTCCTAAGACAGCCCGGGTTTTCAGAGGGGCACAATGCCGCGCAGACACGTCACACAACAAAGCACAGAGGAGGCTCACCACCGCTGCCGGCCCCCAGAGAAGCACCAGAGCCTCCACGGGCTAGCCAGGCACCGCAGGAGCTGGTCAATGGGAAGGCGCAGACTGTTGGATAGCGATTGGGAACGTCAAACCACACCACCACTTTGGAAAATGACTGCAGTTTTTGTCAAGTTCAACACAGTGTACAACAGAGGGGCCCTGGTGGCGCAGTGGTTTAAGCACCGGTCCGAAAGGCCGTGGCTGGAACCCACTTCCCCTGCTGCTCCGAGGGAGAAAGATGTGGCAGCCTGCTTCTGTCGGCGAGACTCTCTGGGGCAGGAAGCACACAAAAGACCCCAACTCTGAGAGGCTGACGATGCAGGAAACCTGAACACACGTCGACACACCAATGTCTGTCGTAGCTTTATGCAGAGCAGCCCCAGAGAGAAACAATTCAGATGCTCACCAACATGCGAACAGATAAGCAACCCTGGCCACATTCATGCAATAGGAAAATAAAGACGGCTCAAGACCTGACACACACCACAGCGTGGGCGGGCCGCCCGTCATTCTGTGGAGAGAGAGAAGGCAGTGCACACCAGCGCAGGCACCCGTGTGCTTCTGCGACGCGGCGCACAAGAAGAGGCAGCAGTAAGCTCTGGTGATAAGGACCAGGATGGGGGTCACCATAGAGAAATTCACTGCAAGGAGACCTGGACTCATGAGAAGGTTATTTCTTTTGATTGGTTGGGATGGTAGATAAGTAGAAATACGTTCATCAAGCGGCACACCCTCACATGGGTACAGACTCCTCCCACTTTGAGTTGACGGCACGCAGCTGATACCTAAGGGAAGCGAGCACTGGAGGGCAGCTCACCAGCGACTGGTGGTGGAGGGGGGCGGTTGGGGCGTGTGGTTTGGGTACTGCCAGGACTTCATGCCCAGTGGAGCGTGCACTTTGACGTACTTTACCAGGCAGGTATTATCACTTTGACAGAGCTGGGTTTTCAGAAAAGCTCGTCTAAAGATGCCAGATAGCCAAGGGGACGGCTCTGAGGCCGAGTTCAAGCACAAGGCCCTCATACTCACGAGACAGAAATAGTGCACGCCGAGGCCGTCTTTCTGAAGGAACTCCCCGAACGTCTCCGGGTCCCCAGCTTCTTGAAAGCACAGCCGACAAACTAGGAGAGACAGT